CAGCTGCGTAAGTTACAAATAAATGATCTTGAAGAAATAAGAAATGATGCATATGAGAATTCAAAAATTCATAAAGCAAGAATCAAAGACTTTCATGATAAAAGAATCTTGAGAAAAACATTTGATGTTGGTCAAAAAGTTTTGCTTTATAATTCTCGACTCCATTTATTTCCTAGAAAGCTAAGATCAAGATAGAGCGGTCCATTTGTTGTGAAACATGTATATCCTTATGGGGCCTTTGATATTGAGAATCCAAAGAATGGTAATGTTTTCAAGGTCAATGGACATCATTTGAAAGCTTACTTTGATAATTTTCCTAGTGAAAATGAATCTATTGGTTTGAATGATCCTGTATATGAAGGTTGATTATTTTGTTTTTCTCATATTTTTTAGTGTTTCTTTTTGGTGTGACTTTTGTTTTGCTAGTCTTTCTCCAACCCCAGTTAAATGGCGGATAACGATACTCCATGACTTTTAAGTCGGTTCTTTCAGTTTCCCATGATAATTGATATCTCTGTATATATTTGTTCAATTCCTTGTTCCTTCTCTTTTCTTTACATCTCTTCTCCACTTCTCTTTAAAAACAAAAAAAAAAAACAAAAATGGACACCACTCTTGAAAAATTGAAAAAGTATTTTCCTGCTCTACCTTAGAATGCGATTATAAAAATTTACCGTGCTAGGTGTGAAAGATTGAGGTTGTTAATGAACCAAGGAATTCCTGAAGATATTTGCTGGATAATTGAAGCAAAGATTAGATTATCAGGTGAGTCTTCCAACTCTTTTATTTCATACATGTCTGGGAGAGGTAAAAGCACTTTTGCAAAGAAATGTCATGCAAAACGACTAAAAGTCTGTCACCGATATGCCAGATGGACTTGTAGTGCAAGATGTCGTTCTTTAGGAATGGTATCTATAAACCGTGAAGATAAAATACAATTCATTAAGGATGGCATGAGTAAGGAGTCATTAGATAATCTTCTATTAACTCTTGAGACGCATCCTAGTGGAGATGTGCATCGTGCAATTCATGATTTATGGCCTCATTTTCATAAAGAACATGATCAACTTAGTGTTGGGAATCTGACTAAAAAGACCCTGTTTGCCAGTTTTTAAGAAAATTGGATGGGAAGCCTATCCCCGACCCATAGAGGGCGTTTAAGCCGTTCTTGGACATAAAACCAAGGAAAAACTATGAGCCACAATCACAACTGCTTGTACATACATATTTGTTTTTATATATATAATAATAATAATAAAATAATAATACTAATAAATAAATAAGAGAGAGAGAGTGTGTGAGACTTCAGCTAGCCTACATATAGGTGGTATGCTTTGTATTTTCAATTTCTCATCTATAAAATCTTCTCTTCCTTTCCATCATTTCTACTCAACACATTCATTCAGCATATATAGAAGTGTGTAGAAATGGCAAGTTCCTCTGTTCCTAAAATAAAAAAATATTTGTGTTTTTTGTGGATCTAGTCTTGGAAAAGAAAAGGAGTTTTTAGAATCAGCAAATCATCTTGGTCGGGTACTAGCTGAGAGAAAGATTCATTTAGTGTATGGGGGAGGCAGCCTTGGGTTAATGGGGAGTGTTTCAATAGTTGCATTTGTAGGAGGCAGTCAAGTTTTGGGGGTTGTCCTTAAAGCTTTAGCCGAAGGGGACATCATTGGAAAAACAATTGGAGAGGAATTACAGGTCTCAACAATGTCTGATAGAATGAATACAATGTTTAACCATGCTGATGCCTTCATAGCCTTACTTAGTGGTCTGGGTACATTGGAAGAGATCTTTCATATTTTCTCTTGGGCCCAACTGCACATTCACCATAAACCTATAGGTTTGTTAAATGTTAATGGTTTTTATGATAATTTGTTGTCTTTTCTTGATCAAGCTGTGGAACAGGAATTTCTAACATCTTCAGCACGACAAATCATAATCTCTGCTGCTACTATTGAACAATTGATTGACCAACTACAATCTTTCATCCCTGTAATTGATCCCTCCATGAGTCAACTCAATTGGTCAAACATGAAACGCTGTAAAAAGCTTAAATTGGATTTGAGCCTTAGTTTGTGAAAAATTGTGTCTTTTGGTTTTATTAATAGTATAATATTTGTGTTTTGTTGTTTCTTATATTTGTTTTAGTGTGTTTCAGGTTTGTCAATAGTCGTTGTTTTAGGTGATATCTTCTACACTCTATCTTTTTGCTTAGAACATTGAGGACAATGTCTCGTTTTGGTTGGGCGGAGAGGGTAGTAGTTGATATTAAAAAAAAAATTGTTATTAAGTAGCTTTATTTTCTATTATTTAAACCATTTGCAAAACTATTATTACTAGGATGGCAGAGTAACGGAGGAACCTTAGTGACTCTTGAGACGCATCTTAGTAAACATTCTTAACAAGGTCTATTATAATACTTCTTGAAATATTCAGGTTTACAAACTCTTGGATTGTTATCTATAGATTTTGTTTATATGCTCATCTAACAAGTATTTCTAAACCTTCATTTTCACACACACACTCGAACATATGATTATGGGTTGCATATTGGATTATTACATTATTTGTGTTCTTTTGTTAAAGGTAACAACTAAGGAAAAGGGATAGTAAATAATATGCAAAAAAAAAAAAAGAAAAAAATAAAAAAAATATAATAATAACAAAAAAAACAAAGTAGATAAGTTTGGTTTTGTAGCCTCCTTAACTTAAGCAAATAAGCCCGAAGGGGTTTTTGGACACCTAGTACCCTAAAATCAACTGACTTGGGAGTTATTGGTCCAGTGCTTGTTACATAGGTTGAGGAGAAAGCTTAAGGGAATCAAACACTGCACTATCTACATATTAGTATTTGCAACCCGAGTTACTAAGCTCGTAGGGGTGTCTCAAGACCTGATGCCCTAAGACCAACTGGTCTGGGAGTCATTAGCCGAAAGCTCGTTACATGGGTTCAGGATACATTATGCTATAAATTCTTGCTTTCAAAAAAAAAGAAAAAAAAATAACAATCTTAACCCAAGGAAGTTAACCTTAAACATTAGAACAAAAATTTTATTTTCTTCCATGAAAAGCTCCATAGCTATGTTTTGATTTATTGAGCACCAAAAGAAGGTTTACTAATATCTTGTTTAAGAGGTATTAAGCAGATATATAAATTTAATGAGAGTTTGTTTATCTGGATAGATGAATAGAAGTTAAATGATGAATGTCTTGCTTTGTGGTATTTGCAAATTATTTTTCTATTTTAATGCTTTGATTACTAGGCACTAGTAATAAGCTGGTTGGGGGGTGTGATTAGTACTTGAAAGTGCATTCTTATTAAGGATTTATGTCATCATATTGCACCTAAAGTATCATTAAATTCCCTAACAAAAGCATGTTTTATATTAGCAAGTCTAAAAATATAATATACCTTTAATTCTTGGTAAATGTTCATCCTAAATGTAGGTCTATCACATAAATAAAAGGATTGATTGATGAGTTTAAGGATTGAAATTGAAAGGATAAAAAGAAGGCCAAACTTAGCAAAGTGTTGCTGGTGCATTCCAAACTCAAACACCATTTGGTAATTTGATCATATCTGGAGCTGTAGATATCAGATTTAGGTCTATTTTATATCGATGGAAAGGTAAGACATAGACCTACAACTTTTATATGGACTTAAAGACTCAGTTATGCTGTTTTCAAGCTCAAATCTTAGCAACAACGAAGACATCAAAAGTTGTCCTGCAGCTCAAACACTATTCAGTTTTTGGCTCATATCTTGAGGTCTAGAAGTCCAAATGAGCTCTGGTTTTTTTTGTTGGAAAGATGAGACAATTGCCCACAACTTCCATAATTCAGTTGGCTATAATTCTAATGTGAGCAATGACATTTTGGCCAGCCAACAATATCAATAATCAGCCCATAGTATCAAAAAACCAGTAGCCATTAATGTCAAAAACCAGCCACCAAATCAATGGATGCCCACCAATTCTTCAATCAATCAATAGTTCTGAAATTTAGCCTATAAAAGAAGGTATTGTCCATGTATTTAGTCATATTAAAATTCAGATCAAAGTTATCTTCTTGCTTTCTCTCTACATCTTTGTAATGTTCAAGTTTTCTTTCATGCTATAGTAATCTCTTATTTATGCTCTTTCATATCCTTTCCTATATTTAGTTAGCTTATATTATGTTTATGTTCTTATATTGCTTATTTATGTTTTTCTCCTTCTTAATGTTTAGCTAAGTTAATTATGTCAAGGTGAAAAGGTTTTTCTAATGGTGTTAGAATAGGTATAATATAAACTCAACATGAGCTTTAAATGTTTATATCTAAGAAAGATTGTTATTAACATGTTTTATCTTTTTATCTTACTAATTCTTAATACCTTGCTTATTAAATGGTTAATTTAGATTTGTGTTGTATAATATTTGGTACATCAAATGCTTGATCCTTCATAGTTTTCGGCCGACATCGTTATTATGATAGAAACTTGATTTGTTGTTAACATAAACTAGCAATATGAATACTTGATGATATTTATAAATATGATATTACTTAGATAAGATAATTAATATGATCATGTTAGTAATTTACTTAGATAAGAGGCGTGGAAGAATGGAGGAAGTGGAGTGTAATAGTGGTGTGTAATGGTTGTTATGGCTGGCTGAGGTAAAGGCTTTTAGTGGTGACTTGGAGGGTGGGGTTGTTGGTGATGGTGTTACTGGAGGTGTAGAAGTGGGAGGTGGGTTGATTATTTTGGTCTAAAGAGAGGGATGAAGCATTGTATCAGTGAGAGTGGGTCTCACGATGCTTGCGAGTTAGAAAAGTTGATGAAGAGGGTTGTCGGTTTGGGTTATTACGGGTTGGTGCTGGTCTAAAGGAAAGAATAAAAGGCAGCTGACGGCTAGTTTTGCTTATTGGTCTAATTTTTTTTATTTTTTTTTATTTTATGTTGTGTGGGTGATTGTGAGCTGGTGAATGTTCACAAAACAGGAAAAAATTCTAATTCTAATTCAAATACACATTAAATATTTATAATCCAGAACTGACCACACATTAAACATTTATAATTTACATCCAATTTTATTACCATGTAACTGATTGAAGCAAGCTTGAAGGCCTGTAATCATACCATTCAAATGCCAACCTGTGACAAACTATATATAATGCATACTGTTTTAAAGGCCGTCATTGAAAACATCACAACCACATAAATATCACGAAACTGAATAACAACCATACATGCAATAAAACACAATATATAATGATCTATGGTAGAGGTTCAAATCATCAAGAAAATGGAATAACCTCTATGCCAGTTAAATCTCCCATATTAATCAACTCAACGGAGCTTTTTCTCCCGTGGTAGGCAAGGGGCAAGAAACCGTGGCAGAGTTTTCCCGGTTATCCTGAGAATGTTGCATGTGGAGCCCATAAATGAGACATACAGACGGAATTGCATTATTGCAAATACTAAGACTGGAAGGAATGCAGCAATGGAAAGGAGTAATGTTGTCAACTTTTTCTCTGACTGAATGAGTATCAAGATTGTGGCCCCAAAAGATAGCATGGTCGTTATCACAGCAAAGAAGAGGAAGGTGAAGCCAACAAGAAGTTTCCGAGGAAGAGAGATGCGAAATTCTTGTAGCTCAAATGGAGAGGTCAACAAAGACAGAAATACCACAAGCGAAGTCAAGGAGCTTGCTAAGGAAACAACATCCGAGATAGTGAAAACCACAAAATAGGGAGAGTTGATGAAGTTGGGCGTGCCATTCTTATCAGAACCTCCGGGCACAGTATAGGCAGCAGCAAAGACAACAGTAGCAACAAGTGCAGCTACTGTGGAACAAGACTGAGTCGTTTCCTTTATCCATTTTTGTGCATTTTTCAGTTGGTCCTGGTGACTCTCTTTGAAGAGCTCATCTGCAGTCTTGCCTTCATCGTTCCGAAGCGTGACATAATGAGAAGGAATTACCTTTTGCACTTGCTGCAATAATCGGGAGATAAATATGATTGTTATATAAATGGAGTTTGTAAATAAAACAATTTTTAATAATATTTAAGTTATTGGTTCGGGTGACAAGGAGAACTAGATCAGCCTGATGTCTTAATTAGGTGACATGTCTACGTTTCCTTAGCATTAAAATTGAATTTTTGACAGTTTAACGGTTTTTCTATCACCTTAACTGGATTGGATAATTTGATTGAAACAAATGTTTTAATAGGTTTGGTGCTCTAATACACAAGACGGATAATCCTGTACCAAGTCCATGAATAATTTTTGTCAGGAGGTAAAGAAAAAGGGAAGAAAAGGTCTCACCTCAAACCATTGCAACTCCTCCTGAAGTTTAAGTGCAGGCCCAGGCTTGGTTCCTCCTCTGTAATGCTCCATATCTGCAGCATGGTGCAACAATGTGTTGCACTTCTTATCAATTACTCGATGCAGTCTAGCCAATGGTACTTTCTGTTGCTTCACAAGATTGAAGATCTCTTTCTGGCGATGCATGACGGCCACATCCAAAATGCTCTGGCCCTCCTCATTGAGATGCTCAACAGCGTGGGGATATTGATCTATTATCCCCCACACAATCTCTTCTATTCCATTTATAGTTGCAATAAACAATGGGATATGCTCCTTCCTAGCATCGGGATATTTTTTCATTATCTCCAACACAATTTCTTCTTTTCCATTTTTGGTTGCAATAAACAATGGGATCTTCTCCTTCAATGATGAGTTCGTTTCAGAAGTTTCTGTTGTATAATGAAGTTGGATTTCAATTGTATCTTTTCCTTTGCTAGCGAATTCAGATAACTGGTTTTCTCCCTTTCTATATTCTTTCCCACCCAGTCCTTCCTTTGTTATGCTGACACTGACTTTATTCAATGACTCATCTTTCTCTATTAGGATTTCGGCGACTTTCAAAGCAAATACATGCTTTCTTTTCTGGTTCCAGAATCCATCTAGCCAACATCCTACTTCATGTTCATGCGAAGGGGAATGAAATTGAACATGGATGACAGGATGATAGTAGAAATGTTAACAATGATAGTAGAAGGATGAACAAAAAAATATCATGATTGTAGAAGGTGAAAAAATAGATAATGATTGTCTGGTTTTTAACCTTTATATCAGCAATTCTTATTACTTTCATGATTGTATCTCTACTCACGTCATCAAATTAAAATCTGCAACGTGATAGATCATTACTTATCATTTTTGACGCTGCAAACTAGAAATACAACACTAGTAAAATTTGGAGGAAGGAACATAACAAGTCCATTAAATCTGCCTTTGAAAAAAAAACAGAGAGAGGGAGAGACTCAATAATATTCAAACTAACATTGGCTACCGGATTCAAATATTTGTTCGAGCCATCAAATTTTAATATCGATATACAAAGGTAGCTCAATATATAATACCACCTAGCCTTGAAACCAAAAGAACAGGCCTCAATTGTGTCCAATACCTTTAGGGACCTTTAAATATTGGAGTATGCCGGCTCTTTGATTCCTCTCCGAACCGCTCCCCAGATCTTCAGAGTTCCTCCCTTGACCGCTCTCAAGATCTCTCTTTCTTTCCTTGAACCAAGTTTCTACCTGTGATTTTACCTCGTGGTGACGTTTAACAGGAAGGCCTGCAACATAATATAGAGTTCAATTTATATGTGTGTGTGCATACACATATATACATAGAAGTGTGTGTGTGTGTCCATGGTATACAGACAAGAAATATGTAGGCAATATTGTAAGGTCTAATAACGTGGTTAGTTTAGGCATACAGCAGTAGATGAGTCTTCCACATATGCCCATGGGAAATCCACTCTCAAAAGCGGTTGGCATTTGGGCTAGAAGTTGAAGAGCAGTTACGCCGTCTTTGTCCTTCAACTTGTGGAGCGAGGCATCCAGTTCTAGCAACATTAAAGCTGTTTCTGCATTCATGAAATTAGGCATAGAAGAATTATACGATATCTTATATATATGAGTATACTTTTTAAAATTGAGAATTATATAAAGAGAGGAATATTGTTACCAAAGTGTTGCCCTCTGATAGCAGCGCTAAGGATAGACAGGCCATCCGTTCTCTTGCGGTGAATTGATAATAGGCGGCACTTATCATCCACGCATTTTTCTGGTTTGGATGTGATTAAAAACTCCACTATTTCTGTCTCGGCAAATCCAGCAGCTGTAAACAATGGGGTTTCACCGTAGTTATTTTTTTCCTTAAGGAGGTCTGGACAACGTTCTACCAAGAGCCTTGCAGCCTCATAATTCCCGTAGATGGTTGCCTCGTGAAGAGCCGTATTTCCAAATTTGTTTTTTCTCTTGAGAAATTCAATCTCAGGTACAAGGGACTCTATCTCAGGTACAAGGGACTCTGTCTCAGACTCTGTCTCAGTTACAAGGGACTCTGTCTCAGTTACAAGGGATTCGGTCTCGTCAGGTAAAAAGAATTGTATATCCTTCACGATTTCAAGTAAATCTTTAAGTGGTTGCTTTTGTTTGCTGTACACAGCTAAATGAAGTGCAGTATCCGCAGAGAGCGTAACTGGGAAGGGCACATCTAGGACACGTTCCTGATAATGGTCACGCATGCTTTTCCAATTTCCACTCATGACTGCTCTATAAGGTATCCCCATTATAGGAAGAGAACCCATGTTTTCTCTCTACACAAAATTACGTGAGTGACTATTGTTAATAAACAATCTCAACTCGAAGCTAACTAAGGTGAAATCCTAAAAATAAATTTATATTATATAACTCATTAATATTATGAAAAACAAAATTAGGAAGTGAGCACTCAAGGAGAACTGTAAGTATGTCATACCTTTTAGTAATGGAAATGATCGAAATGCTCCTCCCCCTACTTCTTGGTAAAATCAATGTCAACAAGAAAAATTGTTTCCGGAGAGATGACTACAAAGAAACAGCCTAGCTTCTAGGTTTTTTTCTGAATTAAGTCGTTTGAGAACCCTATATATACAATCCCTTGATTCCTTTTTCAGAAAAAAAAAAAAGTAAATTAGGATCTGTGTGTTGCTTGTTTGGTTTATAAAGTGAAACTATTATGAGAATATAATAAAGATATGTTGATTCTCCTAAAATAATTTTAAATTTAAATTTTATAAATAATTTTATATCTAACTTTCTAACATTCCATACTTTTCTTTTATGGTGAACTCTTGCTGATGAGCTCCTCCTTTGTAGGGATATTTTCTTTTATATTAATAATTTAATTAATCCGTTTCCAGAAGTATATATTAGCTTAAGAACTTGTTTAAATGATCATTATAAAAATAAATATATTAAGATTAGATTTTGGTCAAAAAAAATTTCTTAGTTTCAGTATAAGTGAAAAATGTATTGCATTTGTTAAACCATAATATTAATTGCAGCGTGAAATCAAGATTAACATTCTTGCTTCTAAAATAGGCAAGCAAAAAAGAAGAAATTTCTTTATTACTTGTTTAACCTTTTCTCCTTTTGGAATAATCCAATTTTAATTGCTCTTATTTGCTTCCTTTAGTTAATTTGTTACTTTTTTAATTGCATTGCCTAAATCTTATTAATATGTTCTCTCAATTACTATAAAAAAATATTCTCATTTTCTTTCTAGTACATAGTTTCACTTATTACACCATAATATGAGATGTTCACATTTGCTTTAAAGAAGCATCGAATATAAAATTGTATTTCATATAAAATTGTATGAAAAACAATTCTACCCTTAAGTTCCATATCCATCCGTTTCAAGTTAAATTTATGAGATTTGAGTTTCTAATTATTTAATCATTAAGTTCTCATAACATATTAAATTAAATTATTGAAATGGGGTCCTTAAAAAAAACTTCAATTTTATAATGTATAGTCCATTCAACATTTTTTATATTCTCTCAATTGAAATTAGTTATCTTATATTTTTTTTCTAATTTAATTAAAGAAAATATAGAATATAAACTTTGAACTCTTTATAGTTTGGTCAATATAATTTTGACATTATATTAAATAATTTTTTTAATTTAAAATTTTAATATATCAAAAGAATTTTCAAAAATGATTTTATATTAACTTTTTAATACTTCACATTATCAGTGCCTATCTTACCTTTTATTTTTTTAAAATAATTAAATAATAATTTGTATTAATCTCTTAAAATACATCTTTTTTTTATGAATTATTCATGATGAGCTCTTACTTTGTAGAAATATTTGGTTCAACATAGATGAATGAATCCGTGTCAAGTATATATTATTATTTTTTTATAGCTTATGAACTTGTTTAAGTGATTATTATAAAAAATAAATATATTAAAATTAGATTTAATTCTAATTTTTTTTTTTAGTTCATTAAATATAAAAAAATGTATTGCATTTGTTAAACTATAATATTGTACTTGAAATCAAGATTCTCATTCTTGTTTTTAAAATAGGCAAGGAAAAAAGAAGAAAGTAAATTATTACTGATTTCCCCTTTTGCTTTTGGAATAGTCCGACTTTAATTGTCTCATTTGCTTTCTAGTACATAGTTACAATTATTAAAATATAATATGAGATGTTCCCATTTGCTTTTTCGTACATAGTTACAATGATTACACTACAACTTTAAAGAAGCATAGAATATAAAATTGTGTTTCACGTTCGTGACAAAGTATCCTTGAAATCTATTTTTCCAACAAGCCATAGGGACATCGTTTCCTTCTGCTTGGAGTACAGAGTGCAATGGAAATGATCATCGACCCCCTACCAGGCTAAAAGGGTAAGAATGTGTTTATTATTGTTGTGATTTAAAAAATTTATTTTATAAAAAATATTTGTAATTAAGATTAATTTGAAAAAATAAATGTTTAATTAAAACTATAGTTAAAATTGAAATGGAAAAAAAAGTAATTTAATGTATTTGATTAAAAATATTTTTGAAATTAAGTTATAAAATAATTTTAAAAAATCTATATTAATGTTGATATTTTTAAATTTAAATATTGTAGAATTAATTATTCCTATTACATCATGAAATAAATAATATTTTATATAAAATATTTTTTATTATTTCATTAAATTATTTATAATTTTATTATATACAAAATCTATCCAATAAAAACTACAGTTTTTAAAAAAAAATTAGCATATAATAAAATTACATAAAATATTATCAGGTATAAAAATTTAGCATATAATAAAATTATATAAAATATTATCAAGTATAAAATTGATATTACAATGCGAGTGAATTTAATTCATTCTATACTAATTTTTCAAAAAAAAAATATTGTTTACATTACAATACAAGTGAATTTAATTCACTCTAAACTAATTTTTTTAAAATATTAATAAAATTAACACACTAAAAGAAAAAAAAACTTTAATCACATGAATATTTAAAAAAATTATACTATTCACATGAACAATATATTAATATATATGTTAATTATACTATTTAATGATTAATATAATTAACATGTATAGTGTATAAAAATTTGAAATTCTTTATTTTTCATTACCTGCATTTCGGTCACAAAAAATAATATAGAATCTATTAACAGTAAATCATTTTTTTTTCATTACTAACAGCTACAAACTACATTTTAATTAAGACATCCATGTAAACAAACGGCCTCTATGCCCCCTGCCTTGAATCATGGCATCAATAGCATTAAAGTTTCAGAGAAGAAACTACGTGCTTGAACATGGCAGGCCAGGAATAATATCTGCAGTCCAAGTGTATTTTTAAAACCCAGTCTTTGAACTTTCTTCTTGGAAAAGAACATGTATTATTAATGGAGGAATTGGTGATGATCAATTCTATCTAGTGCAAAAAACTAATGAGGGCTTGAAATTTTTTTTAAATTAGAAACAATGTTATTCAGACAAAAACACATCATTTTATTTAAATAAAATGACAATAAAAAGTATTAAATTTCAAATTAGTTTTTAATTTTTGACTTGTTGAATTAAATTTTCAAGTGTAATTTTAATTTTAAAAATCAATTTAATTATATCCTGTTGAATTTAAATATCCAGTCACTTAACTTGATATGGTCCGTCTTTTACGAGTAGTAGATGGTGTAGCTTACTTTGTAGAATGGTGCTTTATCGGGTAATAATGGAGGCAGCACTAGCACATTGGCGTGGGTTGTCTAGGTGATGGTGACATGTACCATGTAGGTGGTGCGATGTGGCACTTTAGCACGTAAGTGATGGTGAGCTGGCATACTTTGAGCATGAAAAGTGAAAAAAAAAATATTAAGGTGGAGAAAAATGTATGATTGAGTGACCTGGGTGGAATGTCTGGGTACAGGGGCGACCTCGCCTAAGCTAGGTGACTTTCCAGCTCGCCTTTTGACGAGCTGGTCGCCTGGCAAGTCCAGGCAAGGTGATGACCAGTCTATGGTGAGTTGGGTTGGGTTATTATTTTTCTTTTTCTAACATGAATAATTACCAACTAACCGATTGAAGTGCTTGAAGCCCCGACATTATTTTCGTAAAAATCGAGTTTTTGAGTTTAGTAAAATCGGAATTAACGAGTACAAAATCCTTAAAATTAATAAATTCAATCTGATTTTATAAATTTATTACATTTATAATATAATCTAAGTTATGTTTAAATTTTATTTTAAAATATTTATTAATCAATTTTACAAGATTAAATATATCTTTTAAACTGTAAATTAAATAGAGTTGAACTTTGGTGGGAAAATATTAGACACATGAAAACATATTGTAGTAAATTTTCAGGTCAAATGAAGTATTGCACCCTTACGATGGAGTGACGATCTTCAATTGATTTCAAGGTCGTTTGTTTTTTGTGAATAAGAGAGTTGCAATCTAGTATTATGGTCACTAGAAAACCTAACTGGTCTTTCAAAGATTATAAAGTAAAGGACGGTTGCGTAAATAACAGGTATTAGCATTCCTAGTACGCCCTATCTAAGATAAGCTGTTTGGTGTTTGGTTTGCCTTATAATTGTTATAGTATTGGTGTTTTCCCGGGATATGTTTTGATATGATGAATGGATTTAGGCTGAAAGTTTAAAAAGAAATAAACCTTGGTCAATATGGATTACACCCTTAGATATGTTTATAAAGTACTAAGAAGAACCAATGCAGATCTTTTAAAATCTGTGTTTGATTCAGACTAAATTAATTAAGATAGAAATCCAAGGAGATTTCATGTACTTTAAAAGCTTATTTTTCCCTTAGTATTTCAAGAGTTTTGTGATTAGTACTTAAAAGTGTATTTTTATTAAGGTTTTACATTATCATTTTGCACTTGAAGTATCAATAACTCCTTAACTAAATCATGTTTTATAATAATTTTTCTAATAATATAAGATACTTTTAATTTATGGTAAATATTCATTTTAAATGCAGGCCTATCACATAAATAAAAGGATTGATTGATGAATTTAATAACTAAAATTAAAAGGACAAAGAGATGGCCAAAGTTAGAAAATAGATGTCGATGTAATCCAAATCAGAACACTGTTCTATAATTAGGTCATATTTGGAGTTGTAGATCTCATATTTTGGTTTACTTTATATGGATGTAAAGGTAAGACATAGACATACAACTTTCATATGGAGCCCAAGATCTAAAAAGGTCATTTTCAAGTAGCAACAACAAAGAAGCTCGAATCTATCTTCTAGCCCGAGCACTGTTCAGTATTTGGCCCATATCTAGAGTTATAGAAGTCCAAATGAGCTGAATGTTTTACACAAGAAAGTTGAGACAATTTCCTACAACTTTCATGTTTTCAAGTGGCTCTAATTTTGATGTTATCAATGATGTTTTGGGTAGACAAAAGAAGATAAGGATTGTCACTAAGTCAAGAGTTGGCCACCTACTCATCAATTAGTTATCAAATCAATAGTTCCTAATTTTGGTCTATAAAAGGAGGCATTTGCCATGCATTTAGACATCTTGGTTTCCAGATCAACATTATGCTCTTGTTTTCTTTC